GAAGCGTAAGCAGGTGGATCGGTGGACGAAAAAACGGGCCTTGTTCGGGGTCTACGACAACGTGGGCATCCTGGGTAAGACACCCTCCGCTGTAAACCGCAAGGTGGGAGGGCGAACCCACCTGCGGGCAAGCGGCTCCTCCAGCAGAGAGAGGGGGGGGGGGGGGGGGGGGGTGCAGCCCATCTGGCCATTACTTGTGGTCCAGGGCAGCTTCTCCTTGAGAAAAAGGGCTTCTTGCAGTCTCTCCTCCCTGCTGCGTGGTGTCCACCTCTTGGGAGGCAATCCTCTTCCTCCTCGGGAGTCCGGAGCTGCAGAGGTGCATCCGCAAGAAACAGATGGTAGGAGATCGGATGTTTGTAGATGACTACAACAAACTCACCAAGAGGATCCGGTACCTGTACAGGCGCTTCAATCGCACTGGGAAGCACCGCTAGGAGCAGCTGTGGGTTCGGAACGTGGAGCGTGGTTTTGTAGCATCATGGCCAGAATAAAATGTGCTTTCACACAGTTGGGTTTCCAAGTGCTTTCTAAAATTTTCACTGTGCATTCCTGGACTAGCCCAAAGGTCCTCCTGCTGCCCCAGGCCTGAGCTCCTCTGTGCAAATTCTGCCTCCTCAATCATTTCTGACGTGCTTCTCACAGACATCTGTTCCAGCCTGCATCCCTGAACTTGGACCTGAGAGTCTTCTGCTTTTTGGACAGGTTGTAGCATCCTTTCAGTCTTCAGGAGCTCCAGGTTCTCATGTACTGTTTGACAATTTTAGTGTGCTCCAGCTTAGATTTTTTTTCCTGATAGCCAATTTTTCAAGTTAGTGCTAAGAGTGCCTCCTAATACATCTTGCTCACTGGTTTCCCCCTTGCCCTCCATTTATCCATGATTAATATTCCTTGCCCTCCATTTATCCATAATTAAGTGTGAATGGTCCAAATGTTAGTTGAAATGGCATCAAAACCTTCTTAAGAACAGTTTGTCTCTGTTTCACTCTGATGAGTCAAAGCTGGCATCCCTCCAGTCCAGCATCACAAAGACCATTATATACTCAGAAAAATCTGTATGATGAGCAGGTGTTTGCCTATCTCTTTTCTCTTAATTGTTAATTTGACTCCTAGGTAATTGAGGAGTTACCTCCTGACTTGATGTATCTTGTTACTGAGCAATGCCACTCCATCTTCAAAATCACAGGTCTCAAAGTGGCAAGGAATGAAAAGAACTTCCTTTAGGTCTAAGCCTTAGGAAGATGAAGGCAAATTCTCTGTTCAGGCAGCTGAAGCCCCTGTTCTCAGGAGCAGGGTGGCAGACCTGTGCGACTCCATCCAGAACGTGATGTGAATTCAGGAGACGTGCAGGGACCCAAGTGGAGACAGCAGGCACCTGCAAGAGAGCAGCTGGGGGTTATTACCTGTGTAAATGCAGGTGTGGCTTATGTACCCTTTTGGCTGATAGTACATCAGAAACTGGGAAAGTGTCTTGTTCCCTTTGCTACCTCAGTCCCTATGCACCAAAACTTGGCAAGGGCCCCATGGGGCAGCAGTTTCACAAGCTCCATCTTCTCTTATTCGCAATGGTTGTTGGAACAGTCCTCAAACTGCGGTGGGAAGGTTGCCAAGCTATGGAAGCTTCTTTTGCAGCTTGTCCAAAGGCACAGCTTAAAAACCTTCCGTTCTGCTGAGGCTAGTGCTAGGTTCTACCTTAACCCTCAGCAGCCCTATCCGCACATCATCTAGCTCTAGTCACAACCCTCTATTAAGTCTTCACCTTCCTTGTAGCCACAGTCTTTTGGCTCCCAGGCTGTAACTTGTATCTGCCTTGTCCATCTACTAATGTATCAGATCTGATGGTGGAAACTGTTATTAATGGCCTCTTTCGCCACGTGAAAGGGAAAGGTGCGAACCAGTCACCCGACACCCTACTCACCGCACCAAACGCCGTAGAGAGAGGCTTCTTGTGCCAGGATTTTGTCCTGAATTGAAGAATCCGCCCTCCCGATCCCGCAGGCCCCTTCTTGGGGCTGCTGCTGGAGCCTGATTTCCCCCGCCCTTTGCGGACTAGCGTGGATCCCCTTTGATGCCGTGCCCTACGGTGGAAGCGGGCCAGCGACGCCATATCTTAATTGCGGGAGCGGCGGCTTAACCAGAGCCAGGGAACACGGAGGCGGGAGTTGCGGAGGCGCTCCCCAGCCCCCCCGCAGGCACCGGCAGGGCTCGCAGGTCAAAACCGTGTGGGGCGTTCGGGCCTTACCTCGGG